TCTTACACTTGGACTAATAAACGATTTAGTACTAACCCTACTTATGAGCGCTTGGACAGATGCCTTGGTAATGCAGATTGGTGTGCATCCTTCCCCAACACTATTGTGTACCATGCATCTTCCCATGATGAAGAGTGATCATGCTCCCATTCTGGCAGTTCTCACCTCCAACCACTCTAAACTCCATAAACCTTTCAAATTTGAGAACTGGTGGCTCCTAGAGGATGACTATGAGAATACTGCTAACTGGTGGCTCCTGGAGGATGACTATGAGAATAGTGCTAAGCAAAGTTGGCACAAATCCACTCATCGACCCTTCCATCTGAAAACTTTCTATCTTGACAGAGATCTCCAAAGATGGCGCAGAAGCAAACCTAAGATCTCTGATCAGCTCTAAGCCATTGAGAATCAAATCCTTCAGTTGCAAATGCGCCCACCCCACCTTTAAAATGATTGGTCTCCAGAAAAATCTCGTGTTTCAACATCATGCCAAAGATGAAGCCTACCATAGACAGTGCTACAAAAAGAACTGGTCTATCTTTGGTGACAGAAATACCAGTTTCTTCCATCAATCCATCATCAAAAGAGCTAGGAGCAACACTATAACTCACCTTCAGAATCCTGATGGTTCTTTCTCTACAACCCAGGAACAACTTGCTCACACTGCCAACAATTACTTCATTAACATTTTTAGATCTCAAAATTCTATTGATGGAGGAACTGAAGTACATGAATGGAAGCATGAACCAGAACACAGTCATGAAGCAATAGAAGATCCTTTCACAAACTCTATCCCAGATATGCAGGAAATTTACAGCATAGTGAAGAACATGAGAAGCGATGCTGCCCCAGGACCAGATGGCCTCAATGCTGCTTTCTACAAATCTTCGTGGGATTGGATAGGTATGGATGTTCTCAATCTTATTACCTCCTTTTATCAGTCTAGTTCTCTTCCTCTTGAAATAAACAACACTCGCATTGTTCCGATTCCAAAGGTTAATGCTCCAATTAGTCCTAAAGATTACAGGCCTATTAGTCTTTGTAATGTGGCTTACAAGATTATTGCGAAATCTTTAGCTGATAGAATTAAAAAACACCTCCCTCACATTATTCATCCTTCCCAAGCTGCTTTTGTTCAAGGGAGACACATTGCTTCTAACATTATTATTGCTCAAGAAATCATTCATAGTTTCAATCTTAAAACTTGGAACCAGAAAGCATTTTTTCTCAAACTTGACCTTGCCAAAGCATTTGATAGGATTGAATGGCATTTTATTGTTAGGGCACTTTAAAGACAACAAAACAGCTTCAGCCGGCTTATCAGCTAGAATCTACAGTATTTTTCTCTCACAACAAAACAGCTTCAGCCGGCTTATCAGCCGACTTTAATACCAGCCGAATAGTCCCGACGTGGTGTTAGACAGGGTTGTCCTCTCTCTCCCTACCTTTTTATTATTGCCGTCAATGAGCTTTCTATTTGCCTGCAGCACCATTCCAGCAATCATAACATTTAAGGTATTACTCTTGGTCCTGATTGCCCTCGCATTCATTCGCTTCTTTTCGCTGATGATTTGATTATCTATGGTCAAGCTACTCAAGAGGAAGCTACCAATATCAATTCCATCCTCCAATCTTTGTGCAAAGCTTCAGGTCAAACTCCCAATTTATCCAAATCTTCCATCATGTTTAGCAAATGTGTTGATATCCACAGCAAGTTGGCTATCAAAATTTTTTTCCCTGTTCCTGATCTTGCTCCGAACACTATTTACCTTGGTCACCCCCTCATTTTCAACCACAATGACAGAGCTAAAGCTTATGAATTCATTCTTAACAAATTCAGGGCGAAGTTGACCACCATCAAGGCCAACAAGCTTAATCATGCCGGGCGCCTTGCTTACATCAACTCCTTGCTTGCTTCTATCTCTATCTACTACATGTCCACCATTTTATTTTTCAAAACTTTCATCTCCAAGATTACTACTATTATCAGGAACTTTTGGTGAGCTGGAGTTCAAGAGGACAATTCCACCTCTCCCTTTCATTTCAGATCTTGGACTTACATTTGTAGGCCCAAAAAAGATGGGGGCTTAGGTGTGAGAGATTTGTTCACTGTCAATCGCATTTGGTAAGAATCCTTTTCTCTCTGCAATTTTGAAGCTAAATATTTTAACAATACCAGCTTTTGGCTTGCTCGCAATAACTCTACAAAATCTGCTTTTTGGTCCTCTATTATTCAAATCAAAGATGTTTTGATTGAAAATTGCATAGTTCAGATTCATAAAGGTGACTCCAGCATTTGGTCAACTCCCTGGTGCTCGATTTGGAAAGAAATCTACAGTCATATGAATCTTCCAATCTTTGTTCCTGACTTGCCACATAAAATTTCTGATCTTTGGTCGCCCAATACTCATCTTTGGAACACTGATTTCATAGCTCAAAATTTTGATCAATATGCTACCACTGCTATTTGTCGCACTCTTAGTGTCCCCTCTTATAGCTCAGATGTCATCAAATGGAAACCTTCTGCTAAAGGTATCTGTTAGGCAAATTTTTATTGATCAACACTGCTTGCTTTGTCGCTCTCTATATAATGAGAGGAGATGTATCAATCTAATCAAGCACGAGATTAGATCCGAAATTCCTGGGATCTTGAGCTGGCTAGATGTCATCACAAAAATTGGGCCCTGTCACTGCCAAAGGTATCTGGTCACCAGGGAATCGAGGTGGGATGAGAGAAGGAATTTTCTTCTAATCTCTTGCTCATCTCCTCTCATTATATAGAAGGTGTGAAAAATTAACTTTTAATGCAGGCCCAACAACACCACGCTTGTCAATTCTCAGATGCAGGTACAACACCCTAATCAAGGCTCAAGAAGCATTGACAACCAAGCGATGGATATTCTGAGAAGAACGTGGGCTCATAAGCTTCTCCCTCCAAATATAAAAGCTTTTGTTTGGAGGCTCATTAGAAGAGCAATTGCTACTGGAGCACGAGCTGGAAATCTTTCTACTAAGATAAGCAAATATTGCGCCACCTGCAACTCAATTGAAAATGATCCACATTTGTTCTTTCATTGCAATTTTGCAAGGGCGGTTTGGTTTTCATCCAAAACCCCCCTGCGCACTTCTTTGCTTCCTTTTGAACAGGATGGCGTGCAGGAGATCCTTTCCACTGTCATCAAGAAGAACACTTCGGATGCAGATTTCCAGAGAATCATGATCACTCTCTGGTATATTTGGAAAGCGAGAAACGACACTCGCTTTCAAAGGAAGAAATGGACTGTTTTGCAGGTTCATCACGCGGTGGAGGTTGACATCAATGTCACAACTGTCTGTTTGCAAACGGACAGTCCAGAAACTGATAAGGAGAGAGCTCAAAACATTCACTGCTCCCAGGCCATGCGAGGAACCATGCTTTCTCTTGCAGGTTTACATGCAAATGGAGACGATCAGCAGCTGACTCTACCCCGTCGCCAATCCATGCTGGGACTGTCCAGCAACCAAAATATTTGCAGCTCCCCTAGCCTGCTTCCTGGGGCTAGATGCTACTCCGATGCTTCTATAATCCCTGACAACATAAGTTCCAATGCAAGGAAAGCAGGACTAGGAATCTTTATCCTAGATCCAAACCATCAGATTAAGCTCTACATCAAAGCTCAAATCAATCAAGCCACCTCTGTCCTTATGGCAGAAGCTGCTGGCATAGCGCTTGCCGCTTGGATCACCTCCTTGCTCCACATCAGAAGTATCGCTTTTCTCACTGACAGCTAGCTTCTGGTTAGCTTCTTTAACGGCTCCGAATTATGCACGCCTCCTCGCTGGGACATCAAGCCATTCACCCAAAGACTTCTCAATGCAGTTGCCAATTCAAATAGCAAAGTTCTCAAGATTGACAGGAGTTTCAATACTACAGCTCATCTGTTAGCTACACAAGCTTTTAGACATTCAGAGCTCCAATATAATCATGAAAAATTCGCAGCTGCCCTCTGCGTATGGCACTGCAATGCGTACCATGGGATCCTTATTCCCTTATTGCAGCCGCTTGCTGCTAATAATAAAAGTGTTTGTTGTAAAAAAAAACGAACTAATTTCACAGATTTTTCGAATCTGTAGGCCTGGCCTACCCTGTGGCGTGCGGGTTGCGGGCTACGGTCTGCCTTTTGTCCTCCGGCACTCTGCCACCCTCTCGGTTCTCTCCCGACTCCCGTGCCGTGCCCCTCGCGTATTCTGTGCCTCTGTCTCCGTAGCGCCGACTGGGCCCTACGCCCACCCCTTTCCGCGCGAGAAGCCTCGCGTGCGCGCCTTCGTCGTCCGTCGGATGCCCAGGCGGCCAGGCTCAAGGCGGAAGATGCAACGGCAACGCTCCCCAAACCTTATCTGCTCCCCAGCATCTTCTTCTTTGCGTTGTTGACTTGTTGCTGTTCGAGGTCAGCCGCTCTCTCTCCTCGTCCTCGGATTCGTGTGCTCGAGCTCCGGTGGCTAGGAACAGCGGCAAGGTGGGTCCTCCTCCTTCTCCTCTCAGATTGCGGCATGGCCGGGTCAGGGTTTGGGGGCTGGGTCCGCCCCTGATCTGGGGCTGCCTGGCCTTGGTGCTCCAGCTTTCTACTGGCAAGGAGAGATGCATTTGCTTCTGCTACAGATTGCTTGCCACCAAGACACACTGTGCCGACTGCCTTCCCTGCTTGTGTGAAGGAGTCCTCAATATACCTCAACGCACGAAATGGAATTAGATTTAGTCAGATTTATCTGCCTAATTGCACATTTGCTGTTGATTGAAATGTTACAACTTTGTGATGAGAAACATACACCAAGAATCTTGTGTGAAATTGTCTGTTTCGGCTGATCACACCGTCTTTTCATTTCTCTATAAATTCACTAATGACCTCTCAGTTCACCAGAAATTCTTGTGCTTATTTTCTTATGTAGGAAACAATACTTCTTTTTCCCGTCGCACCTTTGTGATGCACTGATCACTAGTCAGGAGCTCTAGTAATCCTCTAATGGCCGAGTGTTCCTTGGCAACACTGAGAGGCCAGCATCAAGGGAGATGGACCTGGTCCAACAGCAAGCTCTCCCTAAGGAATATGTCAATCATGGATCCAAAGAGGTTGGTATTTCTTTTTTCATTCTTACATTGAGATAATCTTGAGTTGTTGGGTTGCAATCCATCTTTGCATTTTCTTTGTTTGCAGGAACTACTCCCTCAAGATTCACCTTCCATGTCAATCCAGAGCAGCAAGAGAATGGACAAGTGTTGCATTTACTCCTTTTGGTTTTTGTGGAAGGGATCACAGGGTGGAAACTTCAGTTAAATGTTATTGTTTGCAGCCACTCGTGGATCCGGAGAGCATGGTCTCACCAAATCTAATACTGTTTTCGGATGAAGCTCTTCTCACTATCAGCATGGTTTTTGCATATTTGGCCGGAGTTGTACCCTCTGGGCAGACATCTCCTCGTGTCAGAAATCAGAATGTTTTTCAACATATTCCAGAGCCAAGCTCCTCTCATTCTGGTAGGTAAGACTAGCTCCATAATTATTACTTCTAGATATCAGATTGGTGGCATAGCAGAAAAAATGGCTGCTAATGTGACTCCTTTTCACAAATTTAGGGATCTAAAGTTTTTACCTGAAAGGAATGCTGCGTTTGACCCCAGTGATTTGTGGAGTGAAGTTAGAGCTAAACTTTCCAGAGCCTTACAAGCACATGTTCAAGATGCCAGTTTTGATAGCAGAGGGGATGAACTCACAAGTGATAGGAAAAACTATCCTTTGAGTATGCTTGCCATTCATGCTGGTCCCAGGTTGCGGCTTCTTCTGATCACATTCCAGCTTCTGGAAATGGAGGCAAGAGGCACACCATAACTCGTTGTTTGACTAGGATTGCCTATGTATACTCACTTAATTTATTACAAGTTAGTATCTGATCTGTTTTCAACTAAAAGAGGGTATTAGCACTCTCCCCTTTCTGAATTTTATTGGCTCATGTCATATAATATTTTCTGTCTATTTGTCTGAGTTTATTAAGATTGTGCACTAGAATTCTATACTAAAGTGTAACCAGTATCAGATATTTTTTTTTGTAACATTTGACACCATTCTTATAGACTTTTGAACATGTTATAATTGAATATGTGGCTGTTTTAAGATGATCTGATATCATTCAGGTAAGAAATATCTTTGGAAGTTCTGAACTTGTTGATGGAATCACGTGGTTGCAAGTATCGACTACCTTGATAGATGGTTTGATTCAACCAGCATTTGTGAAATGGATTGAAGAAGAACAGGCCTTGGAAAATGGACAAATCAACGAAGTATGTTACTGACTTACTCTTTTGAACTGTTGTCCGTCCTCCCTATTGGACATGGCTCAAATCACTGATATCCTTTTATGTTCCAGAAACTTATGAAGGCGATAAGCAATAAACTAAAGGAGGACAATAAGATCTTGAGGAGGTTTAACAGATTCGGGAAATCTGAACTCTATTTGGATATGCTCTTTTTCCTAAGATTTGGTTCTTCTAGGTACTAAATGGCCTTCTTGATCCTTGTAGCAAATTTTTTATTCAGTTTCATTTGATGTGAAAACTGCATCCTATTTGTCATGCGCATGCAGCTGTGATCAATAGCAATTAATAGATGGTTGGGGATTAGTAGTTATGGCTGCAGCAGTAGAGACATGCAGCTGCCAGGAGCACGGCAGTAGAGGAGCATGTGGCTGTAATCAATGGCAATTAGAATTCTAGGGAAGAGATTAGAGTTAATGAGAGATTAGAGTTAATGTTGGGAGAGAAACAAGGAGCCAGAGGCTGGGCGCCTAAGGGACAGAGCTCCTCTATTTATACCCTGTAACCAGTTGAGATTGAATCAAGCAATGAACAAACCTATTCCTAATCCCTATTCTCTCTTAATCTCATCCCTTCATCTTAATCTCACCCCTTCAACATAGGGCGTCCAGGGGATAAACCCCACGCCATTACCAACCCAAGCTATGAGCTTCGTAGTCGAGGGCCAGCTACCTTGAGCACCAACTCCCTTGACAACCTGGTATCGGCTTCTAGGCGCTCCTCTTCCACCTCTGCACCACCACCAAAACCAGCAGCCACCACGCCATCCACCACAGCCTCACCAATGACTTCCGCCGCCTCATGACCCATGTCATGAGTCAGGGATCCTTTCCTATGGCTTCTGCTGTCGGTCATCCATCCCCATCAAGTGATGAGCCAATCACTGCCCTCGTTGAGGGGACTCGCCGTCTCGCAGAGGAGATGGATCGCTTCGTCGTGATGTTCAACCGCTACCGTGCTCACTTGGAGAAGTCAGAGCATGAACTCCAAGCAGCGGTGCGGCTACAGGCGGCAGCGAGAGGGTTCCTGGTATGGCACACCACAAGGAAGATGCGGGCAGCGATCAACCCTTCGCTTTCAACAGTCCCATCCACCACATCATTAGGTGTCGCCGCAACACACAGTCCAGCTGGCGCTCACGACGGGTATGGTTGTGCCAACAAGCGGCAGACGTTCACCAAAATCCTCCAGGATTGATGAATTGGATATGGCACCGCCACCAGCACCAGCCGTCTCCTCTGTTCTGTCACCTGTTTTGGTGTCGCTGGACAGGCCCAGCGTACTGCTGAAGCTAGCTGTTGGGCTCTTCCCATAGGATCCAGGAGGACGTTGTCAGCTTCATCAACTGCTATCCAAGCTTCCAGCTCGAGGACGAGCTGCTCGTCAAGGGGGGAGTCGGGAGAGATGTCATGCGCATGCAGCTGTGATCAATAGCAATTAATAGATGGTTGGGGATTAGAAGTTATGGCTGCAGCAGTAGAGACATGCAGCTGCCAGGAGCACGGCAGTAGAGGAGCATGCGGCTGTAATCAATGGCAATTAGAATTCTGGGGAAGCGATTAGAGTTAATGAGAGATTAGAGTTAATGTTGGGAGAGAAACAAGGAGCCAGAGGCTGGGCGCCTAGGGCCAGAGCTCCTCTATTTATACCCTGTGACCAGTTGAGATTGAATCAAGCAATGAACAAACCTATTCCTAATCTCCCTGTTCTCTCTTAATCTCATCCCCTTCATCTTAATCTCACCCCCTTCAACATAGGGCGTCCAGGGGATAAACCCCATGCCATTACCAACCCAAGCTACGAGCTTCGTAGTCGAGGGCCAGCTACCTTGAGCACCAACGCCCTTGACACTATTCAAGAACTGTACATGTTTTGGTTGCTTATTTTATAGACTTATTTAAAAATATTATACTCTTCTGTTTACTGATACTGTCAATTGTCTAGACTGTTTTGGTTCTTTTTTTCCTTTTGCTGAACAATTGCCTTTTCTGAGGTACATAAAGACATCCTTATCCTGAGTCCTGACACTTCCTGATGGCAGGTCTGACAGCTATTTTGATGTCAAATTCCTTGCTGAACATGGAGAAAGAATTTTAGAGGACCTTGTAATTTCCTTAGCTGATGTGATTGCTAGTATTTATCTGGAGCTTATGTCAGTTGATGGTGATATGTCTACTGAAGTTGTTAGTTCCAGCTTAGTTCTATGTTCTCTGTCAACCAGAGAACTTCAAAAGCTGCGCAATGAGGTAACTATTGTTTTTTTCCAGTTCTTCGGCATGTTATTTTTTTTCCTTAATTAAATGTGCCAGGGATCAAATCCCCTCGGATCAATGAGAAAATCTTCTAGGTTTACTTGTATTTTAAATTCTAATTTAAACCAAACCTCCTGGTCCGAAAATAGCATATTCAACTGTAGCATAGGTTGATGAAATACTGAGTTCTAAACTATGGTGTGCTCCCATATATACTTTTACTCATTATTATTCAACCTGAAAGTTTTGTTAGCTATAACCACCATGGAAATATATTTAAGTGGGCATGAAAGGATATAGATAAGCATCTGCACTTTGAATTCTCTTCATATTGTGATGTGTCTAGGTGCTGATATAGTTATATTTAAATGTTCATGCATATTAAGTTTTCCTGATTCCGTGGTTATCCCTCTTATCTCCTGGAAGGTGGCAATCAATTGGTGGTTGCACCAATACTTCAAGTCAGTTATTTCAATGTATGAAGACAGGTTCGAGTTATATGTTCTATGCAGCAAAAAATGTGAAAAAACAGACGACAATCAAGCTGAGAGGGCAAATTGGTGGAGGATTGCATTTGGCAAGCCTAATGTGCTTACTCTTGATTATGTTAACATCAGTCCATTTTCCCTTCCAGCAAGAAGGACAAAGGAATTAAGAGCTTTGATTGGATGGTATGCCTGAGCCCCTTCCAATCCATGCCATTTATTTCCTGAAACAATTGTTGAAATTTTGCACATGTTACCTGGATTTATAGATGGCTAATTTTCAAGTACCTTTTTAGCATGCTTTGGATGGCCCAAAAGAAACCTTGACATTGTTAAAATCACAAAACACTTTCCCTTTTCCTTTTCCTTTTTAAAGAAAAATGAAAAGAAATCGAGTTAGAGTAATGCCCCAGTCAGTGTTGTGTTACTTTAAAAGGTATTGTTTTTTTTTCTCGAAAACGCAGAAGAGCTGCGCTTCATTATATTAAAGAAGAAGAAAGAGGGGGTAAAGAACCCTAGTACAACACACCCACACAACCTTAACTCTTAAGATACATTCGCGCTGGTAAAGAAAGAAAAGCGACCCTGCACCTACAACAAATCAACTAACAGCTTGGCCCACGAGCCCCTGCCATTGTCCACCGCCAACGCTCTTCGCCGGCCAACTTCAACGTTTTTGTGTTAAACCTTTTTGTGTACAACAAATCAACTAACATTGGCCAGCTATGTTAGGATTTGCTCCATCGAAAATGCAGCTGTTGCGATGATTCCAAATTATCCGCGCTCCCAGGACTATTAGGGAGTTCAGACCTTTTTGTGTTAAACCAATAGTTGCTGCACTTGCTTTTTCCCACCAATCATCAAATGAAGTGTTAGTTGGTTGTGGAGCTAGAGAGCGGAGAACGACCTGTTTCAAGATATAGTACCGGAATTGCCTTGAGAATACACATGCAATTAGGAGATGATCAATGCTTTCGTTGGCTTGATCACAAAGTGGACACTTCTCAAGATAAGGCAGTCCACGTCGTGCAAGACATCTGAGGTCCAGCAGCGCTTGTGCGCTACAAGCCATGGGAAGAAGCGGCATTTAGCTGGAGCCCCAGTTTTCCCCGGTACCTGTATAGGCAATGCAGAACGCACAGCCAAGGTTTCTGAGATTGGAAATGCCCAAACCACCCAGTGTGACTAAATTTGCAGATAACTTCACAGTGAGATGACTGGATTAATTTTGCCATTTGTATAATACCTGAATTAAGAAAAATAACATTGTACTGTTTAACTGCAGGAGGTATTACTTCAGCTTATTCTTAGAGTTGTCAGATATCGCCATGCCCTTCATAAGGGCTGCTATCAGCAAAGTGAGCGCTGCAGTATCCTACTTCTGGGTGTCCATGATTGGAAGGTCTCTTGGTCTGATTTTCTCAGGGATTAGACAATCACTAGGCTGGAAATGAGCTTATACCTGTTGAGTTTTGTGTCTGACTATTCGTTTTCCCTCCACTCTGCTAGGACTGAATGAACGTGTGTTAACTCCGGTAATCTCCTCAGTTTTGTGACTGTTAGGCTATGCATTGAAAATCTTTGAGAAGGCTGTCATTTTTCTCTTTTGTTTTCTTTTAAATCTTTGTTGTTTAAGTCCATTGATCTTGTGGACAGAATTTGTTAATCTGCGAATTGCTGAAATCCATCCACATCGGATGCAGCCTTTCACAAAACAGGTGGTAAATGCATTTTTGTTTTTTCATTCAAGAGGGAAGGAGCGTCATATTTTTGTCAAGACAAAATGGTAAGGACAACATACATTACCAGCATGCATCATACTTTTGTACAGGGTTTCATTTCTTTTACCCATACGATCTTTCATTTGTCTTCACCCATACGATCTGGAACGAAATCATGTAGTGTCAAGAAATGGAAAATTCATCCCAAAATGAAACAAAACGGAACTGATGAAACAGCCCTTTCATCTGACACTAGCACAGAAAACTGAACCGGAGGTTCAATGTTCTTGCATTATGTAACCAAAGTATATACTACTTTTCCGTCCTTTTCCTTTGCAACACAGATGATGAATGAAAGAATAAAATGAATATGATCCTACAATACATCACTACTTACAAAATCAACTAAGATCAGTCTGCATTTGGTTGGTGTGTGTCATAAGGCTCCTGCAAGGAAAAGAGAAGATTGTTAGAAGGTTCATCACGGTTGTCAATAGATCATCTGCAACGGGCTGCATGCTGCACATGTTCAAATTTAGGCAAAAAGCCTAGTACTCCAGTCCAAACTGTAAATCGTTCTGGCTTTTTGAGGTACATAACTTTTGTTATACATCTAGATATTCATATGTCTAGATACATAGTAAAATATGTATCTAAAAAAGCTAACTTACAATTTGGAATGTGGGAATACTTCCTAAATAAATTTGCGTAAAGAAGCATAGTACTTCCTAAATACTACCACAGCTCATTTTTAGCATACATATTAAGATTTGAAAAAAAGCCTTTATATGGCTTTTATGATCACTAGCTACAAAATCAACATCATATTAAAAGATATTTGAAATATGAATCTATCCATATAACTAGTACACTAAGCATGCACATAACTAATTGTTGGTCAAAATTTATGAGTTTGACTTTTTAAAATCCTAATACACCTATTAAAGACGAAGTGAGGCAGTATTCGGATAGTACTCCATTTTTTCTGAAAAAAACAAGCATCGCTTCAAATTGCACTTAATATTCCAATTTGTTTGTTAAAATTGTTTGATTCTTTTAGAGAGAAACAGATCAGTCACTTTTTTTTAAAAAAAAATAAAGTTTCACACTTGTTTTGTTTTAAAAAAAGACCACCGCTTCCAGAGCACACAAGCTCAAAACAACTGAAAATCACCCATGCCGTACAATGATGGATAACCAATATCATACATAAAATCCCAGGAAGAACTGCTGCGTGGTCTACATTGCAAAACAATTGGAACTGAAGTCTAAATTTAATCAAGCAAGACAGTTAGAAACAAAAGGCGATGGGAATACATCATCTTTCCATAATTACTTACCATTCATCCTTGTGCGACTTGTAGTTGTTTTTGTTCCTTGCTGCTGGGACAAATCAGTCAGTGACAGAGGAGTAAGCGGCGGGGAAGAAATATCACTGCCGTCCCTGCTATTTCTAGCCTCTAACAATCTGTCCACAGTGATGATTGGTATCCTCTGGCTATTTGAGGGTATGGAGTAACTGCGAGTGAGGGTAGCAGGTGGTAGCGGAAGTGGTGATGGGGTTTGTGATGCCATCGGGGCTGGTGCTGCAAGGATTTGAGTCTGACGCTTTGATACCAGAGGACCAGAGTAACCGACCAACCCAGAAGGCCTGAGGGACTCCATGTTGGCTGGAGGCCTAGGCAGCTCATGCAGCTCACTGATCTTTGGTGATTTTGTTGGATGTGGCAACATCTTGGGGGAAACTTTTGGGGACACAGATGACGGCTGCCGAGAATGGCCCTGCAAATTTCCTGGCATCACAAGATGTTGTGCCATGGGTGATCTGTGATCGTTCAGCGAAGATGGTTTACTTAACCCTGGTCTGCTTGGTATTGGACCAGACCAAGATTCCCTCTTCATCTTCTTATAATCAGAAACCGACTGGGAGAACGTCGATATCCCCTCGGTACTTGATGGCATTTTCACATGGCCACTCGGCCTAAAGTCTTTCATCAGTGGAGATGAATGCCACGGATTTGCTGAGACACGAGGTTTACTTTCCAACTGCTGTGAATGATGTGATCTGTGAGCACCTACTGATCTGGGATCCTTGTCATCAACTGGCATTGGAAGTTTGTACGAATGTTTGGCTGAAGATGGCTTCATTTGCCAAAATCTCTCAGCTGGATCCGGTAAATTGCCTGCCAGAATAGGTGCTGAGTGTGTATTAAACTCTGGCTTCACTCCTGGAGTCATAACATTTCCCTTGGTTTGTTTGACCTCTTCCTGTAGATGAGAAGGCAGAAACATTATTATATTATAAGAATATGCCCGTAGGGGCCGGCAAACGGCATACACGTAAACTGTAAAGATGTACACCGTTCGGGCCGTTTCTGGGGCCATGAGCTTCAAAAAAATAAGAATATGCCCGTGTACATGAGAATAACTAGTTAAGCATTAAGAAATTATAGTATTCTATGCACTAAGTGGAATCATACCTGCATGCTTTCTTTTACTGGCTGCAGGGAATTCGTCACATCTCTTTTATCTAACTGTGCATAAAAATAAAGACAATGCAGATCCTTGGCATTAATTTCTCCACACAGATCAGGAAAAAATAATGCAATGGACCAACTTTTTATTTCTGATGAAGCAGAAAATATAAATGATAAAATAGAAGCTAAATCAATAGGCTGGAGCTCATAAATCAATTATTGATTAAAATCGCATCATCACGCAGTCTCTCTAGCTCAGTGCTGGCCAATGAGGCCTTAAATACCAACTCGTTTTCAGTCTAGTCTCTGAGACCATATTAGTTCTGCTAATCAGCTCAGACAGCAAACTGTGAAACTGGAGTCTTGACTCAGTATAGGACACATCAATTGACCTCATATGCTACAAATAATGCTTATTAATTACAGGGTATTTATGCCCTGAGACCAAGTGTGGACAACATGAACCTATGGTCACATCTAGGTGGGAGGCAGCTAGTTGCATAAAGAGGATAGCAAAATCTGAATCATAAAACTTACATCCATTGAACCTCTTGAAGCAAGAAAATCTTGATCCTTATCATTTATTTCATAGTTGAAACTAAGCTCTCCATCATCGCTGCAATCATCCTGGTCGGAGCTGTAATCGTCGTTGTCAGATGCATCATCCTCAAGACCACTGAACTGGTAGTCAATGTGCTGTTTCTCAGCTATTGCTTTTACATGAGGTTCGAGTGCCTCAAGACACTTCAACCCTCTCCTGAAAAAGCTTAACTACAGTCCCAAGAACAGTAAGATAGTTAGGTTATGTATTCACCCAATCGTTGGGCCAATTGACAGCATTATGGGGGAAGAATTAGCCTACCTGAGCAGCATGATGCCGAGAAGCCTGTGTTAAAAGGCTATGGAATTGCCCTTGCCTCAATGATTTTAAGCGAAATATGAACAGCGCTGCATCTTCTTGGTACTCAGAAGAGCACTTTGCAGTTGTTCTGCAGAGTATGTTTCAGTTTTGGAATGCCTTGACCTTCCCTTTTCTGTATAGGATGCCCTCATAGCTTCATATGCCTCTCTGTGATGAGAGAAAAAAATATTGGTAAAACACAGTATAAATCATAGATGAGAAAAAAAGTTGATTTGAGTTGTATTTGAACCTTTTCATGTCGCATTGCTGCTTCATTTCCTGCAATGTTATGAAAGAAAACAAAATGTATAGCATGACAGGATCTTACAGGACTAAAAACGAAATACACTAAGGGCATATTGGGGGATTTGGATTGAACTATTGGATCCTGTGTATTTTGTTATCAAGTTTGTCTTAAATACAATATCTATAAGAGAAAATCCCTCTTCAATATAGGGGCTCAGTGCTTTTTTTTTCCCTTGATCACGAAATATATCCTCCAAATGGAGTCATGGTCAACAATCTTCTAAAATCTAATATAAACTTGGTAACAAGCAGCTATATCTGCAAATTGAATCATAATACAAATTCGTACAAATTTAAAGATAAATATCATAGATCTAACCTCTACAGTCTGTAGCTCCTTGAGAAGAGACTCTGATGGGGTTGTGATAGTATAAATGATATTTGAGCGCTGGATAACCAGTGAATAAGCATGTCAGTGTCACATGTTCCAATGCATTAGGAACAACTAAAAAATGTTATAATTGTTTCAAGAATTTTCATGCAAAACTCAACATGTTACATAATACCAAAACTAATAACTTACATAAGTATCAACAAACTTTTGTAATTCAAATTGGACCTTTCCCAGCATCATCAGCACTCTACCTGCAGACAAGAGAAAATTATTATACCACAGTTTTTTAGAAAAAAATAAATAGCACTACTTTTCATTTTCCCAGACACAATTTCCTTTTACGATTTCACATTAATATAATTAAAAACTATAGTTTGGAAAATATGAAACAATGATTTCAAGAATATTTGTTCCTAGATTTTAGAGAGTTTTGACACAGGGATGCCAAAACGTCATTGAAAAAAGGATGGAGGGTGTTGTACACTTGTAAACATTGTAAATGACTATAGAGAGCAGTAACTCCACGGATAAACACCATAGCAATTAGCTTACAGGATCACAACTGAAAATTTTAAGCTAAAAAAAAAAAAAGTTGTATCATGAACATGAAACATAATAAAACCAACTGCATAAAGATTTGATTATTTTGGTCCAAAGATGACAAAGGGTACACCTAGAAATGGCACCATCATCTTACGGTATATTTAAGAGAAAGATCTGGTAGTGTAGTTTTATATGAATACATATCGGGAATGCGTAAAAAGTTTGTCTTATTCAGTAAATTTCTATGACAGCTTAGCAAATTATGCTTCTAAAAAGATGCCTCTAACAGCTTAGCATTTTTTTTTTACACCACAAAATTTGTATATGCTTACCACTATCATCATCATCACCATTTAGTGCAGTTTTTGCGAGAAAGCAACCTCCCAGTTCCTCAAGAGCCTCAGAAAACTCTGCATGGGCCAACAAGCACTCGGTTACAAACATGGGACACAACTGAGTAATTGCAAGTAATTTAACATCTGAAATAAGACCATCAGTACCATATACACTATTTGTTGTAGCAGCCGCAGCTGAAATCAAGCCATCATAGCAGTTTCTCATGTCTTCCACCTCCTGCAGAGAAGTTGAGAACACTACTTCAGAGTCAATAACGCACAACCGACAAAATGATGATTGTTCCCTCTTGGTCTCCTTTTACATTTTAACTGCGTGCTAGCAACAAACTGCACATGATCCCATTCCTTAAGAGTGATATGTTCAGAATGTAAGATTTGGTAAACATCAGTCTCAATCCTATATGAGTGAGCAAAGCACTTGACGCCATTGTCAGTTTGTCACTAAACAAGTACTCGATGAAGTTCTGCATCATGGCAAATGCTGCAGATGTTGCGCCAACAAGAAATTTCAAGCTTCTTCTCCACTGTTATTATATATTTATGTTCTGCCATGCTTTGTGTTACTGAAAAGATAGCCTAACATTTACTGCAAAACTTGTACTATCAGAATGTCTGCTTCAGAAACACGTACGCTTTAATAATTTCTTATATATTGCATCGTTATATGGTCAGAAGTCTAAAGAGCTTAGCGTCAATTACGCGTCATCCGGAAAGAATACATCGAGTGGCAAAGCAAGCGTTCATACGACGGAAAGACCCTTGTTGATATTATCCAAGTAATATGAACCTATCGTCTCCATTGATAACGTGTCCTCTCCGGTCAAGATCACGTTGGATGGCTGGCATTTTTTTATAGCAACTTTCTCTGATGGACGTTTCCTCGTGAAGACTTTGACCAGCAACAGGAAGAACCAAGCCCCAAAACGCCAAGGTGATCCCGAGCAGACACGCAAAGGGGTTTTAAAGTCTTTTTCATGGATTAGAACCTTACCTTACCCAAAAGATACTTTGACTTGACGAAAAAAAAAAGAACACTTGCTGAATTAAAGAGAATATAATGATTCCGTGAGATAAAAAGTTGCGAATTATCTACACCAGCCAGCCGGCTTAAAGCCAGCCGAACGGGCTCCAAAACGCCAAGGTGATCCCGAGCAGACACGCAAAGGGGGTTTTAAGTCTTTTTCATGGATTAGAACCTAACAACTACCTTACCCAAAAAATATCTTCATTTACTTGAAAAAAATGATTTGATATTATTAATGAACAAAATCTTTTTTTATGCTGAATCAAATAAAGATAGTTTTAAAAAATATAATAGGCTATGACTTTCTAGTGTTTTTTCTTTGAGATCATTAAGATGAATGATTGCCGGTAGATCCTAAAACTGTAAATAACTTATTTCTGGTCAAGATAGAAAAGAAAGCCTACTATCCCATGATAATGTTCTCCGGAATGATTGCCGGTAGATCCTAAAACTGTAAATAACTTATTTCTGGTCAAGATAGAAAAGAATTACTATCCCGCATAGTCCGTCGTCCAATGAAGAAGTAGGTGTGTTTAGTCTGTGGAATCACTTAAACTTAAGCTTGGGTGCATCATGGTTTTATTCCATAAATTTAATGGAATCAACTTATTCCTCATACATATACTAGTTATTAGTACATGATAAATAAGGTGGTGATGAATCTAACTCAATCCATTCCACAAACCAAATAAAAAAAAGTGAAGAATAAGTAGACGATGGACCATCTCATACTTGAAACCAAACACACCTTCAAGAAATGGTGCAAATGGGTAGCGGATGCATGGTCATGACTTGGTCATGACTCGTGAGCCGGTAGTGTTGGCGATAATAACCGAAAAAATAAAATAAAAGGTATTGTTCATTCGCACGGCCAGCATCTGCGAGGACCGAAAAGAAAGTTTGATTGATCTCAATCCGTCCTGTCGCGCTGAATGACGAATAAACTAGATAGTTTGATCATTCCCAGCAAACCAATCATCAATAAAAAAAACCCAACACAATCTACTCCCCCTGGAGAACGGCACCAAAAAAATAGGCCGTGGAAACCGCGATATCTCACAGGAGGACGCCTCCCAAAATCCAAATTTCACCTAAAAATTCCAATAGGGGGAAAAAGGAAAGGGGGTGGGAGGATGAAAGGTACGAACATGGGCGGCGCAGACGAGCTCGTCGAGCTTGGCCGGCGGCGGCTCGTGGCCCCTCCGCTCCTTGGGGTGGTGGTGGCCGAAGCCCCTGAGCCTCCGCAACGGCGACTTCATCCCCTCCGGCGATATGATTGAGCTCTCTTCTCTTGTGCGGTTAATTTCTCCCTCCAATTAATCTCCTGCGTGCGCCCTTGCAACAGACGCTCCCTTGCCCCGATCAATCAACCCCCCTCTGATCTTTCCGTAAGCGTAAGCTAGCCGTGGATTAGGATTTTGGAAAGCGCCCTTGTTGCTGCAGCCCCTTCTTCCTTCCTGATCCTCCTCTGTGTGTCCGTTGCCTTGGAGCCTCGACTACGGACGGAGGGCTAAAATTAGCTGGCCACTTGGGGCTACGAGGGGGAGGGAGTTCGGAAGTATTAATCTCCCTTCGCGCTACTTATAATAGCCGCCGCTGCTTTTTGTTTAATAATTTAATAAATCGCGAACGGAGGAACATGGAGACCCCGCCCCCATATGATGTATGCCTGCGCACGGTTGACCATGAGAGTGGAATCACGCGGGAGAGGGACGTGAGCAAAAGCGGCTACTGCTCTGATTTGGCAAATTTCGACAAGCTGCTCCGACTTTCGCATGGATTACTGCTCTCATTTGGCAGGATGGTCGCCAGCGGTTTATTTATCAATTAAAGAAACGAAAAGCAGTTAATAACTTCCTCCTCTTGGTTAGACAAAAAGAAAACTTGTGCGTGATGCAAAAACTAATCGACGGTGCTAGCGTCCTGCGTATCCGGACGTGTGTGCCCGGCCGTCCGCGCAGCATTCCCTCTGCTGATTTTTTTTCAGCTCCGACGCGCACCCACACGTATGGATGACTCTTGCACGTGTAGCCCGCTTGTCCGCCTTATTCGAGGCCGTTCGTCCCACACAGCACGCGCACCCCACTCCTGTCACGTCTTGATCGTTGGCCCTCAGCGTGCCCCGTGAGCCGGCCCTAGCTCGTCGCGTCCTATTCCCCGACGTCCATGTCATGCCACCATCACTCCTCGCGCCCCCTAACTCTCCGATCAACATGTAACACGTGCAACATGAAATACTTAATGCAACATACGTATGAAACAGATAGAACATCTAGAGCATACACTTACAACATATGTGTGAAACATATGCAACATCCAGATAAAACACTTGCAACTTGCAACATGAAAACACTTACAACATAAGACAGAAACAACTGAAATATTTTAACATATTATTGCAATATATGTGTGAAACATATACAACATCCAGACCAAAACGCTTGAAACATAGGTCTGGAAAAGATGAAACATTTTAAACAAGCCTATGAGACACTTGCAATATGCCTCTTAAACACTTGCAACATATGCAACATGTGCAACATCCCACGATCTACTTTGCAACATTAATATGAAATAATTGCAACATACCTCTGAAACGTCTGAAACACTTGAAACATGCGCTTTCATCGCAAACATCTCCTTGTTGAGATCGCGCATCGCGGCAGCCACGACATCGACAATGGCCACGACCTTTTGGTGGGGACGGCGGTGTCGGCAGCACCTCGGCACGCGAGGGGGGACGGGGCAAGGCACGCAGCAGCGGGGCACGACACGCAGCGAGCTAGAGTGGGCGCAGCAAGGGGTGGAGCGCAGTGCTGGATGGGAGAGCTGCGCGGCGCGGGATAGGGTGCGCGACAAGAAAGACGACAGCAGCGAGCGTACAGCACAGCAGCATGCAATGAGCGAGCACGGGAGTAGGAGATATTTTTAAGAGAGATAGGGAGACATACAGAGCTAGAGAGAAAGCAGGCCTGTTGGGCCGGTAGCGCGCAAATCCGGAAAAAACAGTGTCTGAACGGACAGACGTGGAGATAGGCGGGCCTATTTGGTTGCTTGTTTTGGTCTGACACAGACATGATATTAAGGCCCTTTTTCGATTCTATCATCTAAAATTTCATTTGAGTCTTTAGACAGATGGTCTAAAGTGTTATATAAAGTTTAACTAATTTAAAAAATAATTAGTTCATGGTACCAAACAAATAAGTTAAAGTGATCAAGTATACTCAGTAGCTCTTAAAATTTAACAAACTAAACTTAGACCATAGGATCTAGACGAGACCTAAGCAAATATCTACTCCCTCCATCCTAAAAAGGGTGTTGGTATGGATTTTGTGCTGATCAAACTTTTTAAGTTAGCAATATCTGTATCTCTCAATATGTTTATTATGAAAATGTACTCAATGATTCTTCTAATGATACCAATTATGCACCATAAATATTAATATTTTTTAAATATATTTAATCAAAATTAAAAATGTTTAAATTTTTAGAAAGTGATATTAAAGAATTAGGTAGTTTCCATATTAAAACCAGAATATAATCATGACAAATTCAAGAACTAGATTAAGCATAACTTGTATACTAGCATGATTTAATAGCAGCATAAACATAACTAGCACAGCCCGTACACCAGTCGATTGAATAGCTAGAAGAAAGACATCATATAACGAGATGTGTACCTTTTGACTATAGTAGGAGATGATGTCGGTGGTGATAGAGATGCGAACAATGGCAGTACTAGGTGATGGCAGCGCGAGGTCAACGATGAGCGGCGGAGGAAGAGCTCGAAGCAGTTGACGATGAATACGCCGGGACGTAGCGTCGCCTGATTTGGATGGAAAATGACTCGTCGTGAAGGATGGGAGCAATCGCACGAAGAGCGCTTCCCAAAAACCTTATTCATTCTCTCCTGATGTAGGATCGCAAGGACGAAGGTTTCGAAGACCTGCTCGCCCGGTCACGGTGCACGCAAGCGATCGGACCGGAGAAGCTACGACAGCGGCGCAACAGCAAGAAGATGCAAAAACCCTAGCTCAATTGGTTGAATTTTGGCGTGGCCAATAGGCTACTTATATAGTCTTGTTCAAGCCGATCTCGTGTCGTGATCACGATCTTAACCGTTTAGGACTCTGTAAACTTGAAGGCCAATAACCAAAACTAGAAACTACAAGAGGAGGCCGCGCCCTCGCAAGGCGAGGAGCCAAGGCCAAGAAACCAAAACTAAAAATTGCAAAAGGAGGCCACACCCCCGCAAGGGGGGAGCCGGATATCGATGGACCCTTCGCCCCGCCTGGCGAGGAAGCGCACGCGTGTGGGCTTCCCTTTCTCCACCTCACACTAGACTTGAGGAAGTGGAGAGGACTCCCATATTTAAGTATGACTACCTCCATTTCCACAAGCAAGGTGGGATTAAAGAGTTCTCACACCTCCTCTTGCACGTATGAATGGGCCTTTGAGATTTCTTAAGAATTTCTAGAATTTCTTATTGGGCCAAGCCCATAACCATAAATTCCAACAAGTGATAATGACACCCTCTATAGGACGAAGGGAGTATCTATGATAGATGTTCTTATGCATATGTATGTGTATGTCTTTTACTCTTTTTATCCTCAACTATTATGGCCCCGTATCCCGATAGAAAAGATTCCTAGAATTGTAATATCTTATCAAACTATCTACATTTTAGAGGCATTTTAACTTATAGATTTTTGTAATCCAAAAATTTAATAAAACTGTTGTGATTCTTTTTATCCGGATTCTCATAATCCGATGTGATCCGAACGGGCACATATATGTTTAGTTAGGAATGTACGCAGATTGGATACAAATAGAAACATACATGCACATATGAATACATATAGTTATTTTTTCTGAGATTTGGATTCAGATTAATGTATTGGTAGTGTGAGGTGGATAAAATATGATTAGATATCTTCGGTATCCACAAGATCCAGCTCCAAGTCCCTGTGCACCACCATCGGGCTACGTGGCCACGGGATGGTTTTCAACTTTTTAAACAAATTCTAGAAATAAATGCCACTACTTTCGAGCATCGTTGAAGATAAAGGGGTTGTGGTAGAGTTGCACTCAGTGCGCTCACATACCGAAGCGGAGCCTTTTTGCCGAAGTTCAAAATCATGACTTCGCTTGCTGTACAAGAAAACGGTTCCTCCTCAACCCTTTCACGCCACAAACACGGTTCCTACCAGCACCTTAAGGGTGTTTGGATCTAGGGACAAAAGTTAGATGGAATTCTAGGACTATCTAGGTGTTGATCTAGGGACAAAAGTTTGACATAATTCTAGGACTATCGCAGCCGTTCGTAGTCATCCGACGGCCATCCGCGCTCTTTGGCGAGAATAAAAGCCTCGCCATGGCTGAGTGCCCTAACCCTAATTTCATTCTCTCCTATGCCTCTCTCTCTTCACCGCAACGCTCAGTGCAGCAGCTCTGATAGCCACTCGTAGCGCCGCCGGTGAAGAGGAGTGCGGAGCGGCGCCGCCGCCGCCGATCCCCTCGCCGGGGCGCACGCTCGCCCTAGGTTGAGCACGCTGCCGTTGAGTGGATTGGGTGACGGTGCCCTAAACCACCACACGCGCTGTGGCGGGCTCGCCCTAAACCCTAGATCTATCTGTCGCCACCGTGGGTCCCCTCGCCGGAGCACGTGCTCCTCAGTGGGTGAACGCGCCACCGTCGAGCGGTCCTGTGAAGATGCCCTTGGTCGGGGCTCGTGCTCACAGCAACAAGCGCGGCTCGGCTACTTCCCGCGTGACGATGAGGCGGCGGTGGAGCTCCTTCCCACGTGATGGTGGTGGTGACGCCAGTGAGCAAAGAAATCGGGTAGGTCTCTCCCCCTTTTGTCCATTCATTCTAGGGTTAGGGTTAGAGGTTTGGTGTTCAATCCGATTGACAGATCAAGTCCCCTCCTTCTCTTTCTTGTTTTGATCTACTCCAAGAACTAGATCTATGTCTAACCTGGCTCTGATACCATTGATGGAATTCTAGAACCATCTAGGTGTTGATATAGTGGGTAAATACTTAGCTTAGATGAGAAACTTGATGATGTATCTCGCCATGGCACAGTCATGGCCATGGCGCCACCGCGACATGGCCACTAGAGTCATAGTATGGGAAGCGGTGCAGGCGCCCGCTAGGTCCATCGAACGCAGCAGCAGTGCAGGTGCGGTGCTGTGGCAACGGCAAAGGCGATGGCGCTTCCCGTCGCTCACAGCGCCCCTCTCGATCGGTCTAGGGTTAG